GGATTTCAAAAGACAGAACGCATGGGTGGCTTGGAATTGACACATCAACTCTACCACTTTATTCTGGTGAAAACAAGTCAAAAGTTTAGGTCAGGTTCAAAGGGTAGAGAAATAGACTCCATCTTTTTTAGGACAGAAAGTCATGTTACAAAATATAATGATGGAGGGAGTCCATCAATGAGGTTCATCAGTGCAATCAACCTCTAGTTGTTATTGTAAGGATTAAATGTGTAACACATGTAAAATAGTTGAATAATGTTGTCTTGCAAATTTCAAAATTTCATATTTTCCTGCTGCGTTAATATCTCCATAAGCTGGCTGTAAGCACCCTGCCCAGGTGGCCAGCTGCACCAGGGTGCTGACCTCTGCCACAAGTCCTTCCTCCACACCCCTGACTGTGACCTAGTGACATTCACATGCACCAATGAAATTCCCTTGCATCTTTTGCTGTGTTCTCCAACCTGACCCTCAATAAAGGCACTTACCTGCAGCTCCTCCCTCCTTCCTGAATCTCCACATGCTCTATTAACACACTCCCTTAGCGCTGTTTCCGTGTGGCCCCCTTGTGGAGTGTAATGACCCTGTCTCTGTACGATGTGTGAGTATGTAGTAAATGCTCAATACACACGCACATCTGTCATCTCCATGACCTTCTTCTCTGTACAGTCTTCCCTCATAGAAATACTTAAACACTATGTGTACTGTGTTAAGCATTTGTATAATTATCTCATGTAAGGTTCACTACCACCCTAAGACAAGGTTTTTAGATTTGTTTATTTTTATAAATGCCAAAAGTGAGGCTTAGATAGGGTAAGTAACTTTCTCAGGTCACTAGGTACCACGATCAAACTGAATCCATGTTCTGAATCACTGACTGACTTCCACTGGCTTAGAAAGAACTTCACTTATCACTTCTGTATGGCAAGGCTGCCCCAAATTTCAGAGCCACCTCAGTTCCGCTGTAACTGTCCGCTATCCCCACAGCGAGGCATGCCAACACCTAGGCTGAGCCCTCCAATCTCCTATTGCCAGAGAGTTGGTTCTGTGGCTGACCTGGGAATAGGCTTAGAACTCTGGGCATGGTTATGTCTCCATGGTACCAACATCAGGTCATGGTACATCTTCTCCGCCTTGTCTACCCTAGATACTCATCGTCAGGTTGGCTGATACCTCCAGCTGACAGATGAGCCTTCTCTAGGACAGGTGCAAGTATACATCAGGGATGTTAGCCCAGCCCTCTGGAAAGTATTTGAAGGCAAGTCTTGCTATCTAAGCACATCAGTATGGATTAGGTGAGTCTCAGCCCTGTTTGTCTAAGTTGCCTCCTTCATATTAGTTCTTCCTAGCATATTGCCCTCAAACCTATCCTAGTCTTCTTTCTAGTTCCCTAGAAGAATGGGAGCTCTGCCCTAGAGTTTCCAGCCTTGCCTAAGCTCATAGTCAAGCTATACTCTTACAATCAGGCTCTGCTTCTGCTACTCCCAAACATTCAGGACAAAGGTAACAGATGTGATTCTGTTCACATCTGTTGTGATTCTGGATCAAGGGCCAGATCCAGGTAGGTGGGAACAATATTGAGGCCATATCTAGACCCAGCAGAAAATGGTGCTGTGATCAACTAGCAAGGTCTGCTGTAAGACAGAGAGTTAGAATGACAACAGTAGTTACTGTTATTGGCATTCCAGGCCTAGACCAAGGATGCCATCACCTGCTGGAGTTCTGAAGTTGCATTGCCAAATTGCATGCTTGGTTTTGATGACCTTTGGACACCAGGCATTGAATGATTCAGCTGCCCCAGATACCACAGGGCAGCTCAGCCCCACATATTAGGTTAATTTCTCTAACTGCCTGATCACTCATTCACAGCTTGTTTTTCTTCCTTAATTGCGTAAATTACTCCCAGACATAGAACAGCTCCAGTGGAAGCCTTCTGAGTTTTGACCAAACCCAAGGTCTTTGATAACTTATAGTGTTTGATGGCCTTAGGGATTGTCCTTGTTCTAATTCTAACTCTTCTCATTGATGATGATAAGGATTCAACCCAAAGATAAGATGAAAAGAGAAGAAGCAAAAAGCAGCTGGAAGAATTATTTAGGATTCTTACTCCCAGGTTCGCCTCTTCCTGGGATATTCATGACTGCCTGAATATAGTCAGTACAAGACAGCATACCAGTGTGAGGTGCTCCTCAGACAGCCTGAGTTGAAATTTTGCCATTTCCAAGTACCAGCTGTGTGACCTTAGGTAAGCTGCCTACCAACCTTGCTACCTAACTACTCCATGCTTCTTCAGGTTTCTTGTCTGTAAAAATGAGGATAGTAACAGTTCCTACCATAAGAGATTGTTAGGATTAAATGAAATAATTTATGTAAAATACTCAGAGTATTGCTTGGAATATCTTTAAAATTCCATAATTAGCTTAGTAGATCTAGTTACTGTGCTGAGTTCATGCATTATCTCCTATTTTATGACTTTTTGAGATCAGGTTTGATAGCCCCATTTTGCTAATGAGAAAGGAAAGGCACGGAGAGGTTAAGTCTATTGTCCAAGGTGACACAGCTGCTAAGTGTCAGAGCTAGGATTTGAGCCAAGGCCTAGTTTGACTCCTAAACAAATGCTTTTTTTTCAGAAGGAGCATTTGGACCTAACAGCTGTAACCATCCAAATCAGAAGAAGCGGCCTGGTGAAAGTAAAATGAAACTTTTTTTTTTTTTAAGGCAGGCCTGAGATATAATCCCATTTGCTGTTCAACCGTGGGCAAATCACTTTACCTCTCTGGGCCTTAGAGTCCTTGGATGAGCCTTTTAAAGGCCAGTCTCATTCAGTCCTCAGATCCATTTCATGCATGAGGAAACCGAGGCTTTAAAATATCAAGCAGCTTGTCCAAGATCACACAGACAGTTCTGGTAGAAGCAAGTCTCAGATTCAGGACTTGCATGTCTCAGTCCCAGATCCACCCCATCCCATGGTTTAGAGGGAGGTGGTTGTGTTGACTGAGTGCTGGCCTCCCATCTTCTGAGCCTCTACCGTCAGTATCTCTGCTCCAGGCTGCAGCCGTGATTTCATAAATGGCATGTGTACTTCTTAAATTTCTCCTGCCCAGGACCCATAGAAAGCGTTTCCTCCTAGAGCGAGAAAGTAGTATCACCTGGGAGCCACCGTCTCTCAGCCCATCCTTTACTGATCCCTCATTTTCATTTCTGCTTTTCAGTGTCACATCCCATATTAACCCCATAGTCTGAAATGTTTAGCAAGTGAGGAGGGACCTCACAATGTTTAGAGGATTTAATTGGAATAAATAATATATGGAAAGGCAATGGTAAGGTACAAAATGCCTGTTAATTAGCAGAATTTTGAGTCAAGTAGGGGGTTTCTTCTGGCAAAAGTTCTTTCAAACAACAGATCAGAGTCCCAGGGTCAGCCTGAGCCCAGCCCCTCTATCCCTATCCTCTGGCAGAAATCTGTCGGCTGCCTTGAGTCTGCAGCCAGCTTTCAGAAACCTGGGATCTCTATCTTCCCAGCAGGAAAGGAATTTACTAAAACATCCACTGCATCCCAAATTGAGAAATCAGCTGCCCAGAATCCGTGATCAATATGTTGTCTCTCAGTGATAAAGTGTTTCCTTGGAATATGTTCCTCATGTTCCCTTCACGGTTCAGAGCTCCCAGAGGTTTGGGGTGGGTTCAGCTATCACGTGCTCTCATCACTATGAGATTCTTCATCCTCTCTCAGCCTCCCAGCTCTCCAGGATCCACAGAGCCTGGCATGAGGTTCCTACCCACCTGTGACTCAGGCTGTTAGCAGGGGAAGATGAAACAAAAGAAAGGTTTCACCAGGGAGCATGGCTATAGACATGGAGGTGGTGGGATGTTGCAGTGTTTATGGAGTTCATTTCAAGCCCATATCTAACAGACATGTGAGCTGTAGGTTCTCTGTGACATTAAAATGCATCCACCAGACATCCCACTCAGCCCACAACCAGGAGTGCCTGCGCCACTAAGATGTCACACTGCTTTGTTCATTTGTCTCCTTACTATCTTCAACAGCATGGAGCTGTCTTCTGGTTGGCTCCCTCTCCTCTCCTACACTCTGGGCCTCCTCCCCACAATGGAGTGTCATTCTCTGTGGCATGTCCCTGTTGATGTTTGCCCTGACCCTCAGGACCCACTTATCTAGAAACCTCTGGGGATACTGAGAAGCACTTGGCATTTTCTAGTAGCCACCCAACTTCAGTGACCAAATCATTGGCTGTTGACATGTAGGTGACCGGAGATCTTTGGTCACATTACGGTTTTAGACACCTGCCGTTCTCCTCACCTTCTTTCTATGGCTGAGAGTAGAGTTCTTTCCGGTCCTGGACCTGCAGTCAATGAAAGGTGCAAGAGAGATGCTAAGAGGGTTGGAAGTAGAGAGAGAAAGCCAGGAAGCCAAGTACAGAGTGGTTTCTGGTATGTCATAGGAGCTCCTCCAATTCTGGATAGAATAGGAGCTGCAAACTCAAGGTTTCTCCTGGTTGTGCTTTGCGTGCATGTGTGTATACGTGGGTGTGAACAAGTGTGTGCATGTACGTGTGTGTATTTGTGCATGTGTTGGGAGAGGGTTGATTTCCAGGCTGCTGGATTCTAAACAATAAGGTGTTTGAAAAAGAATCTAAGGTTTATCAGCCAGGCGTGACGGCTCACGCTTGTAATCCTAGCACTTTGGGAGGCTGAGGCAGGTGGATTGCCTGAGCTCAGGAGTTCGAGACCAGCCTGGGGAACATGGTGAAACCCTGTCTCTATTAAAAATACAAAAATTAGCCAGGCATGGTGGCGGGCACCTGTAATCCCAGCTACTTGGGAGGTTGAGGCAGGAGAATCCCTTGAACCCGGGAGGTGGAGGTTGCCGTGAGCCAAGATCGTGCCATTGCACTCCAGCCTGGGCGAGAGAGTGAGACTCCATCTCAAACAAAAATAAAAACAAACCAAAAAAAAAGAATCTAAGGTTTATTGTATTGGTTGGTAATTAATCCATTCCAAACCAGTCATAAAACTCAGTGGCTTAAAAGAGTAATGGCTTATTTTTGTTTGCCCATCTGCAGTTTGGCCAGTGGTTGGCTGATCTGGCTGGGTTCTGCTGGAAAAGCTGTGCTCTACCTGTCTGTGAGTCTGCTTGAGCTAGTTTGCTAGGGGGGGCACGTTCTCATGGTGATAGCTGAGGCACAAGAGATATGTGCCAGTAGAAATATGCAAGACTCAAGATGAGACCGTGGGAAAGGTGTGGATGCACGGAAAGGTGAAGAACTGGGAAGAGTAATTCAATTCAGCTCATCCATGTGCATTACACTGGCTTATTATAAGCAACACACTCAGGGAGAAGTCTGTACGCTCTCAGTGTGGATGCTCAGGGCTTGTGTCTCACAGGACTGGGCAGTGTTTACCAACAAAGCTGGCTGGGCACCTGGTGAACTGTGCTTGGGGCATGGTGGTGGGTGGTAGATTCTAGTCTCTGCTTGTTCCTAATTGGCAATGTCACTGTAGGCAAGTGATTTTAGTTAATTTAAGTCCTCTTAGAATCTGTGAGGGGAGGATAAGAAAATCTTAATTTGCTCAGTTGTCTCAGCCTGAGGGCCCAGAATTTAGTATTTTATTTTGTGTCCATATTTTCTTGTCTTCACCATCGATACCTGTGACGTTACTTCATGACTGATCTGGATGCATTTCTTGTAATAGCCATCTCTGTAGCCACTTCCATTATGGGTTTTTTGGGGCAGTAAATATTTGCCCATTTTTGGCAGCCTAGCAACCGAATCTTTCCAATGTTTGGTGTACCTCCTATCGTATGTACTGCCATAGAAGGCAGAATCCACTTCTATTACAGAAGCTGGAAAGACCAGACACATTTCCAGTCTCCCTTGAAATAGACTGCAGGGATTTGTCCCATGCTTGGCCAATCACCTGCATCCATTTGACTTGTGAGCTGCTGCACAAACAAGCGAGGACAAGAGGGAGGCTGCCTTGGAAGTGGTGATGGCAATAGCATGAGGTCTCTCTAGGGACTGGGATGATGCTGGAGCTTGTGGTACACCCAGTGTCCAGTGTGGCAGAGAAGCCTGCAGCCTCGCTGCGTGGCCGTGGCAGTGGAGGTCTGATTTGGGCTATGGCTTCCCAGTTTCTTTTTGTTCTGTACTATTTTGTGAACCTGGTCTTCATTGCATTTTGACGAATCGCTGAAGTACCCAATACGTTGCAGACAAATTCCTTTCTTGGCAAGTTCGAGTTTCAGTTGCTCGAAGCCAAGGACCCTGAGTACTTTGTCTTCTGTTCTGCTGTCTCATCCATCACCTGTAGAGGAGCGGGTTTGAGCCCATACCCCACCCATCTGGAAAGGCCGCTGGGGCAGAGGAGGTGTGGTCCAGCTGCCTCCCTCCAGACTGACGGCTTTGACATGCATGCTTGAAATGTCGGTTAGGAGTCGCGCTCTCTGCCTTCCCCCTAGAAAGTAAAACTTCTCCAGATGGATATATATATATATATTTTTTTTCCGAATGACTGGGGGCTCCCTGAGGAGGAGTCAATGCACAGTTGCTGTGTGCCCCCTTTGGTCAAGTGAGCCATTAAAACATCCATGACTGGTCTGAAGGGGACCCTTGGGCTACATCTAGCAACTGCAGTGGTCCACCCCGTTACCCTGACAGGAGACTGCCCTCCCTGTGGGAGCCTTGCTCAGGCCATGAACAGAGTTAGGTGAGAAGGAGCAAGAGCTTATTGAGTCTCTTTTCCCAACTCTGTCCTTAGCTGGAGAGACCACGTGCCAGTGGAGATGGGTCCTACCAATCTTCAGACCTACACCTGGCATTACTCAGGACCAGGGCCCGGGAATAGAGGAGGGCAGAGTCAGGGGAGACTAGAGAAGGCTGTGAGGCAGGTTTGGGTACATGAAGGATAAGCAGCCACTTCTCAGGAGGCTCTTTGTTCCCCAAAATGAGCACCTCCCCTCTCTATCTCAGGACTCTGCTGCAGTTGGTATTTTCCCTGCAGTATCTCTAAACAAGTGCTCTCTCGGCAGTTTGGGTGGGACAATTCATTGTGCAGCACTATCCTCTGCAATGCAAAACATTGAACGTCCTTGCTCTTAGCCCATTAAATGATAGTGACTCACCCAGTCATTGTGACAATCCAGAACTCCTGAACCATTTCTATGTGAAGTGTAGGGGTGGTACCACCCTTAAGTGAGAGCCAGGCAGTTAAGGAGTTTGAAGGAGCTTTTGTTCAAACGCAAAGAAAGCATTGAGCATTCTGAGGTTTTGTTAACTATTAATGCTAAATCTTCATTTAGACTGCTAGACTCTCTGTAACAGAAAGCAGGATACTTTGCCCTCTAGGGCATTGAGGAGGTTAATCTTGGTAGAAAAGCTTGAAGACAGAATCCTCAGCATCAGGACCTATTCTGTGGATGGGGTTCACTGGGAGAAAGGGTGAGAGGACACAGATGAAAGGCTTGGGTACCCAGGGAGTATACAGCTTCAGGAAGCTGGAAAACCTTGTGGGGGTTCAGGAGGGAGGTGGAGAGCCTAGATAGGGAGATGGAAGTGGAGGAAGAACACCTCACACAGGACAGCCCCTTTCCCCCATTTCAACCACCTGCTTGCCAAGACTCCCCTGGTGACTGATGCCCAAAGACTGCAGAGCTATGAAAGGTTGTTGGCCATCAAAATCCCTTCTAGAGTTACATCCAGGAGTGGCTGTGCTGGCCATAACAGTACCGTCGAAACTTCAGTGAGGAAAATCCCAGGCTGGTCAAGCCTGCTGTGTGATTGAATATCCAATTTTCCAAATACCTACAGCAAAGCAGAAAGTTCCATCCTGAGTAACTTCCATATGCTGAGGCCATGCTGGACACAGATGGAGAAGAAAAAGCTGACAGGCTCACATATTTTCCCTCTGTATGGGGTAGTGGGCACATCAGCAGACATCATGCTACAGTGTGCTACATGAGACAGGACCCTATGAAAGGGAGAGAGGTATAAGAAAGAAGAACAGCATCAGGACAGCTTTCAGAGAAGAGTTTTGAATGAGAGATATCTTTTATTAATACTTATTTAATTTATTGATTGATTTTATTGGTATAAACTTAAGGGGTACAAGTGCAGGTTTTTTCGTGGATATATTGTTTAGTGGTGAAGTCTGGGCTTTTACTATGACCATCACTCAAGTGGTGTATATTGTACCCATTAAACAATTTCTCATCCCTCACCCTCTTCCCACCTGCTCACCATTCTGAGCCTCCAGTGTCTATTATTCCACACTCTATGTCCACGTATGCACATTATTTACCTTCCACTTGTGAGAACATGCAGTATTTAACTTTCTGATTCTAAGTTATTTCACTTAAGATAATCTCCTCCAATTCCATCCATGTTGCAGCAAAAGACATGATTTCATAAGAGCTACTTTGATAGTGAGGCAGAGGTAGAAAAAATGGCATGAGCAAAAGTATAACGTATTTAAAAACCGTGTTGAGTGGAGGGTCAGTGGAGGGGAATGAAGTATTTGGAAACCCATAGCTGCTTTTTGGTTGGTTGGTTGATTGGTTGGTTGGTTTATCATTAATATGCTTTTGTTTACCATTTCACCTGGGTTGTTTTGGCCTGCCTCACTAGGCATCTGCGGATGTTTACTGCCTATAGGAAACCTTTGGAAGGCTGTGGGGTAGGCTTTTCCTCTCCTTTCTCTTTGGCCTGATGACAGGTTTTCTAATTCCCTCTCTAACACACAGTGGTCATGGCAGATGAAACACCCTATGTTGTCAGTTTCACTAGGGGTGCTGCTTTTGCGGCCTAGTTGAGTAAGCGCAGGTAGGCAGGTGGATAGGAGACTGCCCCTTCCATGCATGCCCTTCCATGTCCCTGTGTCGTGCACTTGAAAGATGGCTTCTAGAAATCTTGAGAATAATGAGTATTTCAGTCTTGGCAGTTGTGCCATCAGGCAGCCAACTGGATGTGTTAAATTCTGTTTTATCTGTACCTAAAACTCAAATGCACTCAACCTTGAATTAAAATCTGCTATGCACTGAACGTCTGTGTCCTCTCAAAATTCATGTCTAATTGTCAATATTAGGAAGTGAGGCCTATGGGAGGTAATTAGGTCATGAGGGTAGAGTCCTCACAAATGGGATTAGCAACCTTATAAATAAAGATCTCAGAGAGACGTCTTGTCCCTTCCACCTTATGCGGAGCCAGCGAGAAGTAGCTTTCTGTGAAGCAGAAAGTGGTCCCTAATCAGACACCAAATCTGCCAAACATCTTGACCTTGCACTTCTAGTAGGCTCCATAACTGTGAGAAAAAAAGTTCTGGTGTTTATAATCCATCCAGTCTACACACTCTGCTCCAGCAGCCCAAATGGATAAAGACATACTAGAAAGATGAATTTTGAGTTGAGAGGCCCTGAAGTGCACAGGACAAGAAGTTTTGAGGCCAAACCCAGACCCCAGTGAGCAACCCCACCTCTGCCTGCCCTGTGTCCTTGGACAAATTACTGGACGCCCTTCCTCCCAGTCAAAGGCCCCTTCTGCCTCCTAGATAATAAAATGGGAAAACTGAAACCTACCTCATAGCTCAGTTTACAATCAAAGAAGATGCGCCACGGAAAAGTCCTTTGGCAAGTGCAAAGGTACATCCCAGGTGGGTCGAGGAGAGCCAGAAGAAGGGGAGGCTGCCCTGGAGGTGCCTGGCGTGGGGAATGAAGACAATCCCAGTTAGTGCAGCCTTGTTTGTGCCACGGGAGAGGCCCCACAAGCCCTTCATTCCTAATTACCCTTAGATAATAAATGAATACAATGGTAAATGTTATTAGAATAATTTACTGTTCATCAAGAACAAGGGACAATTAGTATAATTCCCTATTAGTATTCACATGTCCCCTCGCTGAAGGCAGCTCTCTCCACCTTGGGCTCCCAGGGCTCCCATTACAGGCGTGGGATCCCCCTTGCGCAGTACCAGCCCACATCCAGCAGGGTTATTAGGAAAGGGGAGTTATTGGCTGTGTAATTAACTATGTAATTAACTCAGAGTGCCGAATGCAATCAGCATCTAATCTAATAGAAATGTGTAATTAAATTGCATCTTTAATCCCTGAGAAAATCTCTGGATTTGGGTATGGGAATCAACCTGGCGGGGTGCCCCCAGGTCTCCATTATCTTCAATTAGACAATTAATTGATATTCAAGTTACCTTTCTCATTCAAACCTAATTGAATTTCTCCCTACTCCCCATGAGGTGTAATGTGTTTATAAAGATGCTCCTCTCCACTCACTGACTAAAGAACCCACAGTAAAGTGGTCATCACCTGTCTCCCACTGCCACTTACCCAGGTATTAGATGCCAGCAAGTGGCCCCTTTAAGAGACTGATTGGCACTTCGCTTTCTTCTTGGTACCTTTGTATCCAAACAGTGCAGTGGTGACTGGCTGGAAAGCAGCTCAATCTGTGACTAATGAAATTTTTTCTCCGTATTGTTCTGACATCAGGCAATTGTTGCCAACATCCCCATTTTGTTTTCTAGCTCCCTTTCGCTTCTCCTTGACTCAGCTGTCTTCTCCCTAAATTCCCCCTTTATCCCCTTAGTCTAACTTCCAGCAACCTACTAAGCTCTTCTCTACCCTGCACCACCTGTCTTCCTCCTCAGATTTAGCTCTTGGTGAGCAAATCACGCAGCCTATGTGATTTTGCCATGTTTTCTTGCTCTGCAAAAGCAATGCTCACAGTCCCAGCACCCTAACAGCCTCCCCTAGGCTAACTTTCCCAGGGGGTTCAGAGAAGCAATTGCACTAGGATGGGGGAAGAGAGAAATGGAGGTGAGACAGGCTTAGAGAGTCAGAAAGACTATGGAAAATGGAAAGATACCGGGAGAAGGGTAGAGACAAGAAGAGATGAGGGGAGAAGGGGGGACACAGGCTGGAGAAAAATGTGAGAGAGAAAACAGAGAGGACGTGAAGAAAATAGGAAGAGAAAGAGAAAAGGGGAAGGGGAGGAGTTAAGAGGAGAGAGAGGCCTGAGTTTAACAGAGCTGTCCTGAAGGACACAGAGGCAGCCAGCTAGCAAGGAAGGAGTGTCAGTGAGGAGTATCAGCCATTCAGGGAGGATCTTGCGGAAGGCCTGACTATCAAACAGAGGCTCCGGTGGAAGCCAAGCCTCCAATTGCACTATATACCTGATAGCCTAATCTGAAATGAGAATCTCGGGGGAGGTGTAGCCATTCTGAAAAAAGCTGCTATTTTTTTTTTTAAAGAGAAAATATAATAAAACTTTCCTTATCCCCTCTGCCTTCAGAAATTTAACAAAAGTGCATCCTTTCAGCGGCATCACTTATCTCCAGTGGCAATCAGCTTAAATACGTCCCATTATCAAGCTGCTTGCTACTGTACATCAGCGGGTGTTGTAGCAACACACAGTCGAGTGCGGATAACATGCCAGTAATTGCTTGTCTGTTTAAAGAAACTTCAGTTCCCAGAGAGGAGAGAGGACAAGTGAAAGCCAGTGAGACAGAAGCGTGTGTTGGAGCTGGGGCCTGGAGCAGAGGAGGCTTGAGCACTGAATGGCAGAGGAGTTCCGGAGACCTAGGCATGAAGACTAGATTGGGGCTGGGTCAAAGAGGAATGGCTGAAAGAGTCCTTCCTTGACATTCCTTAGAAGTGGCAACAGAAGGTCAGGTGGAAGAGGTGTGGATAGGAACCTGTTCTCACTCATCTACAGGGCCAGACTCAGTGATCTGGGGATAGAGGTTGAGGTGTCAGGGTCTAGTGACCCCAAATAACTCCTCTACTTTCTTGTACTGCTGAGAATGGCAACGTTACTTACTTATATTTTGATCACAGGGTGACCTTTTCTTTATAATTCTTTAAAATATACTGGTAGCCTTGCCAGGGATTTTTAAGTCTTGAATCATCAACGTGTATATCTAGACTTCAGCGAGGAGATTGTGTTTCTGCTTTCTTCCTGCATCGCCTAACCCAGGGCTGGGGATGCAGAAAATCCCCTATACACATCGGATAAATGGATGATGAACCCACAAAGGTCAATGAGCCCTTATTTATGAGCTTCCACTGCTTGCCAGACCCAGAGCTAGGCTTCCAGGATGGTTTATCTCCTTTGTTCATCATAAAAATGCCAGCAGGTAAGTAAGTATTGCAAGCCCTGTTTTACCCATGAGGAAGCAGAGATTCAGAGTGGGGAGTAACTGGCCCAAGACCACATGCCCAGTAAGAGCTCAGCTCCCAGCCAAGCCTGCAGAGCTCAGCTACCAAGCACAATGCCCCAGGTAAGCACAGAAGGCAGCAGTGCCAAAACAGGACTCAGCCTCACCTTATACTTCCAACTCACCTCCACAGTACTGGATGATCCTGGAGGGTCTCTTCTCTGTTCCTTCCTGCTCTGTAAAATGGAAACCATTTCCTGTTTTGAGCTCAAGTCTCAGGTCATTGGTTCTATCAGTGGGAGAGGGACAGTGAAATACTATGCAGTGTTCCTCCCCCATCCCTTTGTCCGTAATGAAGCACTGCACTGTAAGTGGCAGTGTGGTGCATGAGGATAAATGCCCCCTCCCATTCTAGTGTTTTCCTTCGCTAATAAGCTGGGAGACCTTGGGCAGATCTTTGAACCCCCCGAGTGCTTTCAGCTCCCTTATGTTTAAAACAGAGATAATAATATCTGCTTTTCCAATCCTGCAGGATTATTCTAAGGATCAAATAGTGTAATGCACATGATAATGCTCTTGAATACACAGAAGCTTTTCATTTTGTGTATCTAGGTATATTCATATTCATTAGGCTTACAGACTAAAACTAGCTACGAAATGCCACTGTCGGCATAGAGAGAGGACTCTGTGTCTTGGCAGACTCTGTTTATAGTTTATCCTTAAGGATACCCATTTGTTTGTTTTAAGAAGAAGATGTGGCTCTCAATAAAGATATTCATGGCTTTCAGGACATGAAAATGTGCTTTGGATGTCACAAGTTTGTTTGAATTTCACTCCAGGGAGCTGAGCTCAGTAAACACTTTCATGTGTAGGCAGCACCCTTAATCAAGCCAGTGAATCTTAACCTAGCCTTCACAATAAAAGTTTAAATAGAACCCTGATTAAATAATTGTTATTTTCCTGCTGAGAATCTCAGTTGGGATGCTGTCTTTAGTGTAATATGTTATGCAAATGTTATGTACAGCATATATATGTCTCTTCTGCAGCAAACTGTGTCTTTGATCGTACTAACACAGGGCTGGGAATCAAAGACTGGGTTCTAGTCCTTGTTCTGCCAGTGACTAGCTGTGTGACCTTGAGAAAGTCACTTAATCTCCCAGAACCTCAAAGTCCTCATCTTGCACAAAGGATTGAAGGAGATCAATGGCTTGCCCTCATTTGTTGCCCCTCCCCCAACCATGGAATCCATGTTTTCAAAAACGTCTGCCAATCTGCATGTATTATATGATAATTAATTAATTTCCCCAAGTCTAAAAATCAAAGGCATTTGTAACTGGTAGACAGAGATTCTGATCAGGCTTATATAATCAGGGTTAACACTATGATTATATAGTTAGAGCTATGATAATTTCAAGTAGAAGCAAAGAAGTATGACACTTCAGGGTGTCCTGTAGCCTCATAATGGATAGATCGGGGAGTGCCTTTGACAATGAGAAATATTAACGATAACTCGCCAGTCCTTATCACTACCTGTGCCCACCCCCAGAGTTGTATAAACAGGTTGGGAATCTCCAAAGTGCCCACTCACTCTAAGTTTCTGTCTGCTCACTCAAAGCTCTTGTCCAGCCCTAATCATCTAAGATGCAGTCATTCTGGGGATTTAGGTAAGCATCAAATGAACAAATGTTCCTGCCTTCATCTTGCTCACATTCTAGTGTGTGTGGAAGAGAAGGGAACAGAAAACAAATATAATAAAATATTAGCTAAATTATATGGTATCTTAGAAGGTGGCAAGTATTTCAGAAAGACAGCAGAGGAGGGTGAGGGCTCCTCAGGGTAAGGTTGCGGTTGATAGGAGGGTAACATTTGAGCAAAGACTTGAAGGAGGTGTGAAAGGAAAATATCTTGGGCCCCCAAAATCACTAAGCTGAAGGGAAAATTCGAGCTGGGAACTGTTTAGGACAAGCCTGCCTCCCATTCTATTTAAAGTCACCCTTCTGCTCACTGAGATAAATGCATATCTGATTCCCTCCTTTTGAAAGGCTAATCAGAAACTCAAAAGAATGCAACCATTTGTCTTTCACCTACCTGTGACCTGGAAACCCCCTCCCTGCTTGGAGTTTCCATGCCTTTCCAGACAACCAATGTTCATTTTTACATATATCGATCCATGTCTCCTGTCTCCCTAAAATGTATAAAACCAAGCTGTGCTCTGACCACATTGGGCACATATGATCAGGACCTCTGAGGTTGTTTCACAGGTTCGCATCCTCAACCTTGGCAAAATAAACTTTCTAAATTAACTCAGACCTGTCTCAAATTTTGGGGGTTCACAGAGGCAAGAAAGCAATATATGCACACTTAGTGGGGAACAAGCAGGTCAGGCTGAAGCTGTAGTGAATGCAAAGTTCCTGTGGCTGAAACATGCTTAGCATGCTCAGAGACCAGGAAGAAGGCCAAGCTGGCTGGGCAGGGGAATCTGGTGGGTTGTCAGAGATAAGTCTAGGGAGAGCCTTATAGACCATCATGATGACATTGACTTTTACTCTGAGGCAGAAGTCATGGTAGGTTTGGTGCTTGGTGCAACGGAGTTACATGATCTATCTTAAATTTTGAAAGAATTATCTGCTCGTAGAAATTGACAATAGACTGCAGAAGAACAAGTGTGGAAGCAGGAGGACCACTTAGGAAGCTGTTACAGTGGTCATCAAGAGATGATAGAGGATTGACAAAGGTGGCAATGATGGATTAGTGAGAGCAGTCTATTTATGAATACATTTTGAAGACTGAGTTCTCAGGACTTGCCATTGCATTGGCCATAAGATATGGGAGAGAAAGAGGAAGTCAAGGTTTTGGAATTCAAGATATCCTCTCTGTCCTCTGATGAAGTCACTGCATTGACATATATATCAATATGTATTAGTTCGTTTTCATGCTGCTGATAAAGACATACCCAAAACTGGGAACAAAAAGAGATTTAATTGGACTTACAGTTCCACATGGTTGGGGAGGCCTCAGAATCATTGCAGGAGGTGAAAGGCACTTCTTACATGGTGGTAGCAAAAGAAAAATCAGGAAGAAGCAAAAGTGGAAACCCCTGATAAACCCATCAGATTTTGTGAGACATTATTATTATTATTATTATATCTTCCCCAATTTAAAACTTTTAATTTAAAAGTAAACTTTAATGTGGAAAATGCAAACTTAGGGAGTGCAGAACGATCACACACAAGGCTGCCACTTCACACCTGGCGGGTTGCACGGTGGCCAGGCAGAGGCGCTCTTCACTTCCTAGATGGTGCACCCGCTGGAGGCTTACTCACTGTCACAAGAACAGCACGGGAAAGACTGGCCCTCATGATTCAGCTACCTCCCCCTGGGTCCCTCCGACAACACATGGGAATTCTGGGACTTACAATTCAAGTTGAGATTTGGGTGGGGACATAGCCAAACCATATCCACAGTGTATTATACACATATAACAGAAGACTTTGTAGAAAGTCCCATGACTTACAATTTTGTATAAATTTCCCTTGACCTCTAGGAAAAATCACTTAAATAATTTATGAGAATCTATGAGCTTACGTGAATTCTGGAGATGAATGACATGCTATATTATATCTTACTTGGCAAAAATTGGTGGGAAAATCCCATCCCAGAGCCAGTGCTCAACTGAGGCATAGAAGCCAGAGTTTACTCCTCCATTCCTAAATGGACTTTGTTTGTTTAACATGGAGGGGCTTTTATGGCTTTAATTTCCCTTGAGATCACTCTGATGCCACAAATCCTAAATGTGTGTGGAAAGTGAAATGACCCTGAGAGCTTTCTGCTGATGAACCAAGGCTTGGGAAAACTAGTCCTCTTATTTATAAGGGAAGGAAATAAATGGTTCTCAGTTCCCTACTGATCATGGAGATGAAATGGATGAAAACTGAAGTGCAGCTCAGCACCATAAAGCCTTTTCAGAACATGATAGAATGTCAATCAATAAAAAATTAGGCCAGAGCTAATCTTTGCAAAAGGGGTTCTGCAGAACATTGGATACAAGGACTACTAATAGGTGTTATCTGAAAAAATTCTATGATATGCATACAAATTTGAGAAATACTAGGCTGAACAGGGCTAATTGGTTTTCTTCTTAGAGTCTTTAATAGGTTAAGGATAATATTTCCAATAAGATTAGTTTGATATGCAAAATTTTCTAAATATGTGGATATGAAACCCTATTTCATCCCCTGAGTAATACCTCACTTTGAGAAACGCTCATCTTGACCCCAAAGCAGTATTAGGACTAAAACACAGTCATAATCATTAAAAGCAGGAACATTTTTTACCTAGGACAGATTCTTTGTAATTCTTGCCTGGAGGTAGGTAAATAAATGAGAGTATCGCTTTGAGCTAACCAGTTTTATGGTTCTATTCATTTAGACTAAATTCTACAACTTTTTGAGTTGTAACTCTGGGTCATACCTAGAGGTTTGGTTTCAACATCATTTATACCATCAAAAAGTTGACAGAATTTTATGAAGGAGACAAACAACATGAGAATACTTACTTGCCATACAACTTGATAAAGTTGTCCCAGAACTATGTACTAAGATCTAGCAGACATAAGTTCAGAAAAAGAAAACACCTTCATAGGTGAAAATATGGCAGAACTTGGAGTCAGCAGACTGCTACCTTGTCCATGCCTGACATCTGGCTAGGCTATATAATCATTCTGAAAATTAAATATTGCTACCATGCAGGGTTGCCTGGAAGAATAAAAGGACATAAATTTATATGTAAGCTGGACTGTAGTAGGTACTTAATAAATGTGGCTAACACAAATTTATTAATTGTAATAATAAATGAAGAAAACTACTCCAACAATATTTCTGCCTAGATTTTATGGTAAGGATGGGTTAGGAAAATTTATTTAAAGAAAAGGACATTGAAATTGCTTAAACGATAATGTGTATGAAGATAAATTAGAAGATAAATTCAGAGGACAAGAGACGCAAACATAAGTGGGATCACAGCATGAGCTATTGCCAGGGCCAGATTGTGAAGATGCTTGTGTAGCAAGATTCAGAGTTGAGACAGACTGATGCATGCATTGGGGCCCACACTGATGGTTTTAAAGAAGTGTCATGATCAGGACCCATGGTGGATGCATCTTTGTACAATTTGTCTTGTCTTGCTTGAGGGACAAGTTGCATTTACTTCACATTTCTCGATGACTTGAGGGTCTATGGTGTCATGGTGCTCTGAATGTGGACCACTGAGATTGAAACTGATATAGTAGCCCACATTTGGTAACACTAAGCTCAGACCCATTTCGGCTACCTCTCCATACCTTAGAATCAGTGTTTTCATATTGTATTGTCCAGAATTTTAAGGTTCAGTGGAGACCATTAACTCAAAAGCTCCACATTAATTGGATTCCCACTTCTTGAAATTTTTACTTTATTCTGTTTCAACCTGAAATAAACACATATATGCCCATGTACACATGCACACACACCACACACAATTCAAATGTTTTATGTACCAAATGATAATACGTGAGAACCTAGTTGCATGTAAAGTTAGATTGCTAGGCTAACATGTTTTGGGGAAGATTTCAGAATAAACCTTGTCACCCTGTATTCTGTAAAGCATTTGAAATTCCTATGGCTAAATCACTGATGAGTATAATTGTAGCTCAACATCATTTTTATGCTTTTTATTTTATTTTATTTTAATTCAGAACTACATATACTCCTTATCCATTTTAGATTAGGATTTTCTCAATATTATGCATCCGAAAGAATATATAGGAATTGGCTCTTGAGATGCATATGACTACACTCTTGTCATCCATAATCCTGACTTCAAGTTTTTGTGTTCATCAAAAATTAATCATTAGGTTGAATTCATAGTAAGTGACTGATAAAAATGTAAATCATACATATATACAACAAAATATTATTTTCTCTGTTTTATATGCTAAGATCTCACATTAGATATTACTTGAAAAGAAAGGAGTTTTTGCTAAATAGTAAGAGTTAAGAAACTTACTGTCATAGGCCACACTTTCCTGTGTGTGTGAATGGCTTTGCCCATGGAAAGATAAGAAGCAGCAAATGGTGATGTGATATAATTTGAATGTTTGTCCCCTCTAAATCTCATGTTGAAATGTGATTCCCAACACTGAGGGTGGGGCCTAGAGGGAGGTGTTCAGTCATAGGAGTGGATCCTTCATGAATATCTTAGTGCCATCCCCTTGGTGATAAGTGAGTTCTCGCTCTTAGTTCATGTGAAAGCTGGTTGTTGAAAGAGCCTGGCATCTTTCTTGCCCCCTGTCTTTTGCTCCTTCTCTTTTACAGTGTGTTAGAATGGCTGTCTCTTCCATGATTGGAAGTTTCCTGAAGCCCTCACCAGAAAAAGATGCTGGTGCCATGCTTGTACAGCCTACAAAACTGTGAGCCAAATGAACCTCTTTTCTTTATAAATTACCGGGTCTCAGGTATTTCTGAATACTAATGCAGAACAGACTAACACGTGATGGTAAAACCAGTGCATTAACACCTTTAGCTCCACATTTGATATAGTTTGCCTCTGTGTCCCCACCCAAATCTCATCTTGAAGTATAATCCCCAGGTGTCAAGGGAGAGAGGTGATTGAATTATGGGGGAAGTTTCTCCCATGCTGCTTTCCTGATAGTGAGTGAATTCTCATGAGATCTGATGGTTTTATAAGTGGTAGTTTTTCCTGCACTCTCATGAACTCTTTCTCACTTGCTGCCATGAAAGATGTGCCTGCTTCCCCTTCCGCCATGATTTTAAGTTTCCTGGGGCTTCCCCAGCCTTGCAGAACTGTGAGTCAATTAAACTTCTTTTCTTTATAAATTACCCAGTCTTGGGTAGTGTCTTTATAGCAGTGTGAAAATGGACTAATACAACATGTGAAGGGAGAAGGAGATAAAAAGGTAGAGTCTATTGCCGTTCGAATTCTTGAATATCCTCCCGATGGTTTGTTCTCTGTGTGTTGATGGGTAGAATTTGATTTCTCCTATTGCTGGTGCACTAAGTCTTATGACTCCATATTTTACCAGTGACTCTAATTAAGATAAAAATGTGTCTAGTTGCTTATTTAACACACACACACGCACAGTTGTACATTAGATGCATCCTAAATACACTTTTGTTAAGACTTCAAGATACATTTAAAGTACTGTACAATGGAGGGCACAGTTGTCTCAGTTTATGGGCCATCAAGTCAGAGGTAAGCAGTATTCCAACAAGCTGTTTACCATTTGAAAGAGAGATTTACAGGTCTTAGTAGGTGAGGCTTCTTTCTGGCTTTGTGGTGTTTTGTGCAGCTTGAATGAATGGGTCTGGATTTCAAGGCACCAGCCAAGTGGTATTTATAACAAAGCTAATATACAATGCTTTAGAGATTTTCAAGCACAATCTCCACTTTAGAGAAAAATTAAGAAAATACACAGTGATTCTTCCCATTCTACAGATGAAAAGGGGATGTATTGCATGAAGCAATGGCTGCCCATCTGCAGGAGCACAGAGAGTGGAAAGTGCAACTTTTGAGTCAGAGAGACATGAATTCAGTGTTCAGTTCTGCACTCACTAGTCGCTGGTGATTGCATTTGAGCAACTTGTTAACCCCCGTGAGCCTTAGTTTCTTTATCTGAAAAACAGGATCAAAATACATGGTTATTAATGATAGAACGGAAAGAGATCAAATGAGATAACTACGAAGCTTTCCATATTGGGCCAAGGACCAAGGTGGAATGAGATAAATATGCGCATGCTTCCTCCCCATTATCTGCCTCTTTTCTGTATTTCCAGATTAGATATCACTACCATGCAGGGCTGCTTGGGGGGATTAAAGGATATACATTCATATGTAAACTGACCTATAGTTATGCACTTAATAACTGGTGGCTAATGCAGTTCTACTAATGCTAATAATAAATGAACAAAGCAACCACAATATTTCCTACCATTTTGTATAGAACTGTGATGGACACAGAGTCATATAAAATCAGCTCATTTCTTTGCCAGTTAGGAATCTCCCTGATGAATGGTGTGCGTGAAGTACATGGTTTAGTGTTAACCTCCCCTTCTCAGGGTGGGCTGGCAACTCCAAAGCTTATGAATAAGGTGGGATCTGAGCAGGTCTTGGAAGGAGAGGAAAGAGACAAATGAATGGAAAGAAAGGAGAAGGCATTGTAAGTGGATGACTCAGCAGGAGCAGAGACCAGGAGATGTGAATGAGAGTGGTGTGAGAAGAGGGGTAGGGAAGCTTCTGGCTTGGTTAGGGAATTGGGAAAGTACCCAGGAGCAGGGAACATGGGACACATCCTAGGACATATGGAGGGCCCTGAAACCCCAGCTGAGGAATTAGGGCTTTATTTTATAAGCAGCAGGTGGCCAGGACAGATTCTTGAACAGAGAAGTGTCATAATGAAAAAGACAGTTTAGTAAACGAATAGGGGAGAAATACTCAGGATGGATTAAAGAATAAAGAAGTTAAGGCCAAGTGTAGTGGCTCACACTTGTAACCCCAACAGTTTGGGAGGTGAATCACTTGAGGTTAGGAGTTCAAGACCAGCCTGGGTAATATGGTGAAACCCCGTATCTACAAAAAACAAAACAAAACAAACCAAAACAAACAAACAAAACCCCACAAAAATTAGCTGGGCATAATGGCAACACTTGTAGTCCCAGCTGCTCGGGAGGCTGAGGTTTGCAATGAGCTGAGACTGCACCACTGCACTGCACTCCAGCCTGGGCAACAGAGAGAGACTGTGTCTCAAAAAAAATAAGAAGAAGAAGCTAAAACCAAAGACGCCAGTTAATAATTGCATTTCAGGAAAGTGGTGATGAGGACATGGACCAGGGTATTGGCAGTTTCCTTCTTGTAGGAAGAAGCAAGCCAAATAGATGCTGGAGGACAGATGTTCAAACAGCATGCAGGGCGGCTGAGGAGGTGTCCAGTATAAAGAGGTAATGCCATTCTTAGGACCAGGAGAACTGGTCTCGAGGAAAGAGAACTTGGAAATGTCTACCTTCAGAATTGCAATCAGTTGGTTGAGGCAAACGTTTGATTTCCCCCATCTCGTAAATAGGCAAGACTTACAATTTGCACAATGATATTATTAATGTCTAGGGCCTGGAAAAACAAAAATGATGTTTCAACTTCAGGCTTTTAAATCTTCTGATTTGCCCTGCTCTCTGCCTAGCTAAATTCACGACACTGGAGCCCGTTTGATGTTGAGCAAGGCTCTCTCCACACTGTCTTCTTGATGAAACCTTAAATCAATGGATTTCCCATCCCCATTCCTCCCTTTTCCTCTCTAAAGATGAGTTTTTTTCTGGTAACAGAAATTCTGTTTAAATATGTAGAATTTTGAAAGGAGCGACAGCTGTGGTAGTGATATTTTAAATCGTTAGAGTTTGTGACTTTAGGCTGTAAAATAGACGCCTATTAAAGTCCATAATTTAGGATGCTTCCATCATATACCTGTGGGGCAGAGACAGATGGAGGGTGGATGGACTGGAGGGTGAGGCCAGGTGCAGACCTGACTCTGCCCTGTGATGTACTGGACACTCCGGCTTAACTTTAAGGGAAATATTTAAGAGCAGGAGGAAGGCAGATCTGTGTGTCATTAATGCCTCCATGCCATCTTTACTGTGCTCAGCCCTGATCTGTGCTGTTGGAGCAGTGTGTGTGTGTGTGTGTGTGTGTGTGTGTGTGTGTGAGAGAGAGAGAGAGAGAGAGTGAGTGTGTGTGTGCATGGAGGGGGTGAGAGTATGCATGTCACTTGTACAGGGGTGAGTATAACACGGTACCTACCTTTGAGGAACACTATTCCAGTGCAGTGTTTCTCAAACTTTTTTTTCCCCTTATCAACTTAACATCCCCCATCTCCAGAGCATTCTTAGACATATTTTCCTAACTGCCCTCCTCATGACATTTTAATATCACAGGCATACTGTGTATTTGCTTATATACTGTATATATAATTTTTTCCCTCTCATCAACCAATACTCTCCTGCTTAGAAAAGACATTGCCCCTGTTGAGAATGTATGTTCTAGTTGGAATGGAAACGATGATGTGTTTCTATTCCTCCCTGTATTGGAGGTAACTACAAACTCATAAACAAGCTCAGAGGACCTGTAGCGGGTGGAACAGTGGTCCAAAAACATACACCCATGTCTTCACCTCAGAACCTGGGAATGTTACCTTATTTGGTATTTTTACCAAATATCAAATTTTTATTAATTGCAGTTGCAGGTGTCTTTAAATTAAGGATCTCATTCTGGATAATCCAAGCAGGCTCTGAATCCAGTGATGAGTGTCTTTATAAGAGACACGCACAGAAGAGACACAGACACAGAGGAGAAGGCAGTGTGAAGACAGGTAGAAATTGCAGTGATGCTGTCATAAGCCAAGGAACACCCGAAGCCTCTAGAAACTGGGAAAGGAAAGGAGGGCTTCTCCCTTCGAGTGTTTAGAGGGAGCGTGGCCCTGCCGGCACCTTGATTTCAGACTTCTAGTCTCCAGAAGTGCGAGGGAATACATTTCTGTTTAAATTTCCTAAACTGTAGTTGGAACCACCATGTTTGTGATAATTTATTATAGCATCCCTAAGAAATGAATATAGGAGAGGATGGCCAACCTAGCCTCAGAAAGTACGAAGAAAACTCAAGAGGAGATAGATGATTTTTGGAGTAGATCTAGATGAGCAGGAGGTGAGCAGACAGAGGAAAGGAAGAGTATCTCGCGGAAAGAACAGCACGTGGATATAGGGAAACAGCAATGCAAGAAGTGGTCTTGCTTCTCAGGCTCCATTATTGCCTGGATGCTTCTCCCCACCTCTATACATGGGAGATCTTGAGAGTTCAGTGTTGGGGCCTCGATTCTTTTGTTTGTTCTCTCTCCCAAAGTGCACTCATCCTTTTCCCATTACCGTCTACATGCTGAGGACTCCCAAATCTATCTTCTGGCCAGACCTCTCCACAGTGGAACCTCAGATTCAACTGCCATTTGATGCCCCAGTTGCCTGGGCATCTGCACCATCAGCTCTATTCCCACCCCTCACACTGCTGCTTCTCCAGTTTCTCCTTTCTCTGTCTCACCAATAATACATATCTTCATCTACCAGATTGCTCATTCAAGAAAGGTGGACAACCTCACAGAGGCCTGCCCCTACTTCCTCAGTCTCCACCAACAACCACCAGCAGCTCTCTGTCCTTCTTCCTCCAATAGACACATTCACATGGGTCCTCTTGCCTGCCACAAAAGCAGTAGGACACAGAGAGCAGGGCTCCAGACTATCTAAATTCCAATCCCTATGTGTTCCTATCTTGGCCTCAGTTTCTCATCTGGAAAATGTGATACAATTATACCTTCCTCATAGGGTCATTGCGAAGGTTAAAACAACACATGTAAAAGTTTTGGGAAACTAACACTAAGTATTAGCTAGTATTACAATCATTGCCAATGCTTTCGTTCAAGCCCTTATCATCTCATCTCTCACTTAACACTGTTACAACAACCTCCTGCCTAAAGTCTCGGATTCCTTCCTTGCTCCTTCAGAAATCATTGTCTGCATTGAAAGCTTGAGTAGTTTCCACTACGTTGAGACTGACCCCCCACCTCCCTACCACATTCCATTGGGCTCTGCACGACCAGCTGTGTCCATCTATCTCCTCAACCTCAGCTCCTGTGATGTCCCCTCACTTACTCTAGGGATGTAGATAGGCCATTCTGCATATCCCTGCCCTACAGTAAGTGAGGGAGCATCACGTGATGTGCACATTTGACTAAGTTTCAGGGAGAATATGACCACATTTTTTCTGGTCGTATTCTCCCTGAAACTTGGCCAGTTGCAACTGAGATTTGCTCAAAGTGTAAAACACACCCGGAAATTTGAAGACCTAGCAAGAATAAAAGTATTTCTAAAAGTCACTAATTGAAAATAGATTGCATGTTGAATGATAATATTTTGGATATATTGGGTGAAGTCAAATATATTATTAATTTTATCTCTTTTGTGAAAATAAATTTTAGAATCACATATATGGATCACATTTGTTTCAGTTGAATAGAGTTGTTTCATGGACTTCCATCAATTGTTAGGACATGCTAAGCCATCTCCAACCTAAGTCTTTGCACTTGGGCTTCCCTCTGCCTTGAACGCCCTCCTATTACTCTGTAGGTGGCTAGATTTTCTTGTCTTTGGCTGCCACGTCACCCCTTGAAAGAGGCCTCCTCTGGCTGTCCTCAATCCCAGCACTCTGTTTATTTCCTTCTTCGCGCTATTCATTTTTTTTCGTTTGTTTGGTTTTTTTTAATCTAATTCACTTCTCCCACTCAAAAGTAAGCCCCATGATTCAGGAGCCATCTGTCTTGTTCCCCGTTGCATCCCAGTGCCTGCAGGGTGCCTTGGGCACACAGTCCATCTTCAACACACGTTTGTTGAATAAATGAAGCAACAAAGAGATTGTTTTTAAAGAAGGCGTTTCTTGCCATTTAAAAGATTCTCTGGACTCTGTGGATGGCAGGAAAGTGTGAGAGGGGACATTTAAAAATTCTCCCCCACTGAAGATAGGAGTGGCAGACACCAACCTCTAAAGAGGCAGAAACACTCAAAGCACAACACATAACAGAGATCTAACTAAAAGTGACTGCTTTTAATATGCAACAGCTGTCAGAGAAGGCCAGGGCTAGAGGATGAACTTAACTGTAGTTAAAGTACCTAGCTTATCTGTAGGTATATGGTAAGATTTTTATTTTGTTTTTTATTTCATTTTATTTTTTGAGACAAGATCTCGCTCTGTCACCCAGGCTGGAGTGCAGTGGTATGATCACAGCTCACTGCAGCCTTGATCTCCTGGGTTTAAGCAATCCTCCCACCTCAGCCTCCTGAGTGGCTGGGGCTACAGGCGTGCACCACCAAGCCTCACTAACATATGGTAAGATTTAGAGGGTACTAAAAATGAACCCCAGCATAACAGAGACACCCACACAGTGCCACAATGCCTGAAACTGTTCATACTAGCTAATACTTACCAGATATTAGACTGTGCTAAGCATATTATCTTATTTAATCCTCACAATGATCTTATAAGGTAAGTCCCAGCACAATTTTCCTTTTATACTAAAGAAACTCAGACAAGGCAGTAATTCACCCTGGGTCACCTCATCAGTGAGGACCGGCCCCAGGATTTGGGCCCACATCATCTATGTCCAGTGTCTGAGCTCACAGATACCACAATAGGAGGCTGGAAAGGAAGCACCTGCACACCTGCCTCAAGTCCAGTTCCTGCTTTGCCACAACCTGGGGAATTTGAGATTAGTCCAGAGCCTAGTATTTGTTGCTCACTTCTACTCCAGAACTGCTTATCCTTCAGTGCTTCCTGGCCATATTCTCCCTGGATATGGATAATGTACACAGTTCATCCACCTGGAGTTAGGTTGATTTGCTTCTCTTCCCCAGCCAGTTACCAACACAGATTTATTGTTTCTGCTTACGAAATGCTCTGCAACCTGAACCCTTCTCTCTGCCTCTTCTCTCATTGCCTTGGCTCCCATCATCTCCTCCCTCTAATCCCACAGGCTTCCAACTAGCCTTCTCCCTCCAGCATCTCCCACTGGAATCCTCTCTCCCCACTTTTGTAATAGTGAACCAACCTAAAAATGTCAATCTCCACTCCCTATCCCTTAAGTTCTTTTAGCAGCTTCTCATGCCTCTTAAAATAAAGCACAAATTCCTTCGTCAAGCATATAAATTCCTTTATGAGCTTCCCCCCACCTATACATGTGGACAGTTTTCCAAGATGACCCACTGGTCCCCTTCTCCTGGTATTTACCCCCTGTGTCATCTCTTGCCCTGGAATGTAAGTTGGATCTAGGGACACTCCTCTAGCAAACAGAATATGGCAGACAGAGTGGGACGTCATGTCTAAGGTTAGAAAGCACCTTGACTTCCATCTTGCTGGCACCAGATCATTGTCTTGATCTCTTGTTTACTCACCCTGCTGGAAACAACTGTCCTGTTGGGTGCTGCCCCATAGAGAGGCCCACATGGCCAGGAGCTGAGGGGGAGGTCTCAGGCCAGCAGCTAGTGCAGAACTGAATCCTGCCAACAGCCACTTGAGTGAGCTTGGAGCACATCATCCCCCTCACATCCATGGATGCTTGAGATGACTGCAGCCCTGGCTGACACCTCAATTGCAGCCTCCTTAGAGATAAAAGTGGACCTGAATTCTTGTTCTACAGAGGCTGTTAGATGAGAAACGTTTGTTGCTTTAAGCTAGGTTTTAGGGCAGTTTGTTAAGCAGTAATAGATAACGAATACACTGGGTTTTCAACCTCACTTTGTAGCCACTTCTATTATACTTGCACACTCAATACTCCTATCACACTGAATTTCTAGCAAGTCCCTAATATATCCTTCATCTTCAGACTTTTGTATATATCATTTATTTCTGCTGTTGATGCCATTTATTCATTTCTGGCCTGGTAACACATGTTCCTTTATCAAAACCCATCTGTAGTAACACGACTGTTCAGATGGCCCTTCCAGTCTACCAGGTAACCACTCCTCCTCTACACTCCCAAATGTTTCAGTGCATTTCATTTAGGGCACTTATAGTGCTGTGGTGGTTATGGATGAAGCGTGCTCCTTTCATGCGCCTTCCCCACCCTCTAATTTCCCTCCCTCACACTCCCTCTGCCTGGTCCCCTTCAGCCACTACACCCAGAATTCCTAGTCAGAAGGAGCTCTGTGTTCGTCTTCTATCTCCAATACCTCACACAGGGCTTTGGGCATATCCACAATTTAGGTTGTTCAGTAAACAGAATTCTAAAACTGACATTGAAGGAATGAAACTCTTAAATCAATTTCTTTATGTGTTATTATTCATTAATAATAATAATAATACAGTCATGTGTTGCTTAGTGATGGGGATACGTTCTAAGAAATTTGCCGTTAGACAATTTCATCATCCTTTGAACACCATAGAGTGTACTTACACAAACCTAGAGAGTATAGCCTACTGCACACCTAGGCTGTATAATATTCTCTATTGCTCCTCGGCTACACACCTGTACAGCAGGTTACTCTACTGAATACTGTAGGCAGTTGTAACACAGAGGTAAGTATCTGTGTATCTAAGCATAGAAAAGATTCAGTAAAAATAGGGTATAAGATAAAAAGATACACCTGTATGGGGTCCTTACGATGGATGGAGCTTGGAGGACTGGAAGTTGTTCTGGGTGAGTCAGGGAGTGCATGGTGGGTGGATGTGAAGGCCTAGGATACTACTGTCCAACACTGTAGACTTTATAAATACGGCACACTTAGGCTACACTAAATTTGCCGAAGGCAAAGAGGGAGCAGACACGTAATATAGTGAAAGCAGGAGCAAGGAAGTGAGCTCTTATAGGACCACTGTCATGTTTGTGATCCATCATTGACTAAATGTTATGCGACACATGGCTGTTATAATAGTAAAATAAGAATATAACATAATCATAGTAATAACAATATGGTCATGATAATAGTAATGTTATAATGATACTCTTAATATTATTATTATTAACATATCTACGAGCCTGGCTCTGCACTAAATGCTTTCAGATACACTATCACTAAACCTCAAGATACCCTGCAGGGTAATTAAATTATATCCATTTCACCCAGACTCAGGGAGGTTAAATAACTTGTCTAAAGCCTCAGAACTAATGGTGAAGCTGGGATTCAATCCCAGAGCTGCCTGATTATCCCGTGAGTTCTCCTTTCTTTACAACCTTGAAATAAAAGGCATCCAAGAAGATATTGTTGAGGAAGAACCGGAGAGCCCTTCTGAATGTGAATGGCAGATTCCTGCGCCAGGTTCCAGGCACAAACAGTACGTGAAGATCACCACGGTGCTGACGGAGGGAGTGAAAAACTAGAGAATGACTTAAGAAGATCAGTAAATACCTAGGGGCGGCATGCAGGAGTGGAGCAGTATGTCCTGGTGAAGGCACACTGGGACCTTGAAATCCATTAGAAAAATGCTCCCCAAGGCCTGAAGCTGAGCTGCGTATGCAACGGGCTTGACTGATGCTTAGATGCAGGTTAGAGCCATGCTAGAAAAGGTTGCACCCGGTCTTGGGAATTTTGATGAGCTTTTAAAATTCAGTAGGACACCAGCACCAAAATCTTAATCTGAGTTTTGCCGCACACACTGGAAAGCAGGAAGCTCTCATCACGTGGAACCAGCGAACGTCATTACTGCCAATAACGACCGTAATGACCCCAATGACCCCGGCCACTCTGCGCACTTTCTGATCGTCAGTGGCTTCCCAGAGTTTCTCTTGAGAAAACCTTTCTCCATTACCCTCTGTCACCTGGTTCATAAAAGGTCTTAGCCCAAGGACTAGAGCTGATCGAGGACAACGTTCAAGGGAAGGAATTTTAGTTTCAGCGAATTTGAACAATTGTGACGTCAGTCCCAGGTCAACCAATCAGAACGCTCAGCCCAGACTGTCAAACCCAGAAACCCCTGGGCCCCAGGGCAGAGATACGTTTTCCCTCCAGGTGGCGTGGTATTTCACGTCTATTTTAAAATGCTATTTCAAATTACTAAACAGGATTGAGCAAACAGTTGTTGCTGTTCCGCTTTCAGTCTGTTTTCTTTTTCAAAATTATCCATTTCCCTTATCTCTCTCCCCTCCCCCGCTTAAGCCAGGCTATTGAAAAGCAAATTTCCTGGAGAGGTTGGGGAGATGGGTGTTGAGAATTAGCATATCAAACATACCCAATAAGCCGAATGGAAATTAGCAGAATCCCGACTCAGACATCTAGTCGCTGTACTAAATTGAGGTTAATGTGACCCTGTCCTTTCTGGTTTAAACAAAGATAGGGAAATCTAGTAAGTTCTATTCCATCTCCCTCTGAGCCCATAGGCATTCCACCCCAGTGGTGAAAATAAAAACAACATAAAAGGTGAGGGGGAAGAAAAGGAAAAGGAGAAAAAAGATCCCAAACATGTTAGTGGAATATATATGTATATTCCCTGATATATAACTTAATAAAAGTTTATGGACCCAGGATAAGGAAGCCACAGTGAACAGATGCACTGGGACTGAAATATGGTCCAATTAAGTCTGTAACAGGGTGAGCTTTACTTTGAACATTCTCCAAGTTGAAATGAAAGCTTCCCAGAACAGATAAATCAGGCAACATAAAATAAAAACGCTGATCCGGCACTGCTCCCAAAAGGAGGGGAGGAGGAGGTAGTAAGATTGGAAGGGTCTTGTTGGGCTGCATGGGGAGGTGAGGAAAAGAGGGTAGGGGCGGAGATTCCGGCAGGCCTTTCTACTGGGTGCTCAAACAGTTGCCGGCTCTGTGATAGTAAATAAACAACAGCTATTTAAACCACTCCAATTAATGCCTTCTTTGGAAGCTATTTGTCTATTGAAAGGATGGCAAGGATTGCCTGGTGCAATTAAGCTGTTTGCTAGTAGTGCCTTCAGAAATACTTTGCCGGTAGCCACGGAGTCATCTGTGGTTCATGGCCAGCCTTCTTGCTGAGGGAGGGGCTTGGGCATAGAAACTGGATGGCCTGCTCTCCCTTCCTACACTGCCCACCTCAGCACCAGTTAAGCATCAAAGCTAAGCTCGGCCTTACCTCCTCCAGGAAGCCTTCACTGCCTGTCTGGATCTTTAGACAAGACACAGAATTCCTTCTGGTTTCCCTGCAGAAGGCACCAAGGGTGAGACTTAACAAGTCCTCATGTTACTGGAAAAAAATCCCAATCCAGACCCCAAGAGAAGGTTCTTGAATCTTGTGCAAGAAAGAATTCGAGACAAGTCCATAGAGAAAAGTGAAAGTAAGTTTATAAAGAAAGTAAAGGAATAAAGAAAGGCTATTCCATAGGCAGAGCAGAAGCTTGAGCTGCTGGTTGGCCATTTTTATGGGTTTTTTTTGATGATATGCTAAAGAAGGGGTGGATTATTAATGAGTTTTCCAGGAAAGTGGTGAGCGATTCCCTGAACTGAGAGTTCTTCCCCGTTTTAGACCATATAGGGTAACTTCCTGTTGTTGCCATTGCATCTGTAAACTGTCATGGTGCTGGTAGGAGTGTCTTTTAACATGCTAATGCATTATAATTAGCATATAATGAACTATGAGGACGACAAGAGGTCACTCTCGTTGCCATCTTGATTTTGGTGGGTTTTGACTGGCTTCTTTCCCACAACCTGTTTTATCAGCAGGGTCTTTATGACCTGTGTCTTGTGCTGAACTCCTATCTCATCCCGTGACGTAGAATGCCTTAACTTTCTGGAAATACAGCCTAGTAGGTCTCAGCCTCATTTTACCGAGCCCCTGTTCAAGATGGAGTCGCTCTGGTTCAAAGGCCTCTGACACTCGTATCAACCACCAGATCTAGGTTCGAATCTCTGCACTGTGTCTTTCCTCCTGTGGGATCAGGGGTGAAGTCTTTGCTCGGATTCTGATTCCTGCCTGTAAAACACAATGCCTATTTCACATATTGCTGGGGTGAGGGTTCAGTGAGATAATACATAGAAGTGGCATTGTATAGTGCCAGGCACATAGCTGGAGGTCAAGCCATTTTAGTATCTTGTCTCAACCTCCTTCCCTTGTTAAATGGGAATCAAATCCACTGTATTTATCATTGGGATTTAGCAAAGCTGTCTTGATTTTTATCTTTCAGAATGTACAATGGTTTGCTCATTGGAAACATTTTTGAGTCTCTGTGAGACAGTATATCTAGGTGTGATGCTTACCCCTTTATCCGTAAGTAGGCATCCTTAGGCTGCTCTCTAATCCCTTAAAGCATCCTTTTGCTCTTCTATAAAGTGGCAGTAATAATAGCAATAATAGTAGCATCTTCCATACCACATTTTTGTGACCAGCATAATCTTGCATAGTAAGGATGAGGCATGTTGGTGCTCCATAACTGCTAGCTCAGGTTTTTCTCTCTTTACTAGAACTGTCTCTAAGCCTCACAGAAGTTGAACCAATTCCCCCAGGTACCAGAGAGCAAGTTGCCGAGCAAGAGCACCTCAGCTAATCTCTAGCTTTTCCACAAATTCATGTTGTCCTCTGATGGACAGCTGAGCTCTTCAAGAGAAGGGTCTGTATTTGCTGTGTATTTGTATCTCCCAGAGTTTGCTGAACTCTGGAGACATCTAGAGACTAAATGAACCTTTAGTGAATTACAATATGCCATGTAGGGCATCTTTGAGGAGGTCAATTTTCTTCCATAGATAATAGTGGAAGCCTTTTGTCAGGATCCAAGTGCTAAACATATGGCCTCTGTCTTTGGGGCATCCAGCTTCTTCTCCCCTTGCTTTTTCCAGAGCATCTTTCCTCAGTCAGGAACACATCTCACATCCTCATCTGTACCTGGCCTCAGAGAAAAGACAAGGTCATTGGCACTTGGTGCCCTCTGCCAGGGGCTTCTGTGTCTCAGTCTGAGCTCACCTGATGGAGTGAAAGGCTTCACTTCTTGATAGTAGAATCCTGCACCCATGGCCGGGCAGGAAACTTCCTGACCACTTGGCAAGACTTTGGGCATTCACAGTTAATCCCAGGTGCGAAGAGAAGGTTCTATATAATGACCTGCCTGCAGTCGTGGGAGCTGTGGTTCCAGTCTGCCGTCTGTGCTCTGTGACTGTATATCTGCCAGCGATTGGGTTTTAGGGACAATGTCAAGGACCCAGCTGGAATAACCCGGCTGGGAAGTTAGAACATCAGGGCCCCAACAGAACCATTGTGGAACTCTGGTCTGCAAAATTGGTTGAAGTAGACTGAGGTAGAGAGTGGAGCCAGCTCCAGGTTCTTTGGTCTTTCCCCTCCCTGCACATGAAAGATCCTTAGAAAGCCCCCAGCACTCCCAGAAGCTCAGCTTGAAAACTACTGACTCTCCCACTGCTCCATTCAGCTCGTCCATCTATGATCTTGATGGATCATAGTGGGACACCTGCCCTTGGGCTCCAGATGCCCACCTTCATGGTGTGATTTTCAGATGAGGTAGGGGCATCAAATTAGATCCCCAGGGCCTTTCACATAACCTGAAAGTCCAAAGTTCCAGGTAATACTCCTCAAGTCTTCTAGGTTTTCTTTACTAGTGGTTCCATTAACATGTAAGTGGGCTGAACTTATGCCCATGTCTGGGTCATCTTGAAAAGAATTTGTGTACTTGCAATCCTGGGCACAGGCTCTGGGGAGGAGGCTGGAGTCCAGGAGAGAGGGAATGGGTGACATGGAAAGTAAAGAGACCTCCCCTGTTCATAGCTCATTTTAGAACAATCCTGTGGGAGGAGACATTGCAGATCAGAGGGTTAACATTTCCTTAGCATCTACTCTGTGCAAAGTTATCTGATTTAATCCCTAAAATAACCCTGTAAGACAGATAACACCTATCTTCTCTAACCAATATATTATAGTATAAACTCCACGAGTGGAGAACATTTGTTTTATTCATTACTGGATTCCCAGCATCTAGAACAGTCTCTCTCTGCTCAGTAAACATGTGTTGAATGACTCATAGCTCCATTTCCCTGATGAGAAAACTGAGGCACAGAAATATTTATTGATGGTCATAGGTAACATAGCTGGCAAATGGGGGAGGCAGGATCCAAACGATATCTCCCTGACCCCAAAGCCCATGTTTCTCCACATGTGTTTGCTCGTGATTCTGTCTCTACATGTGCCCAACTTGAAGCAGGGCTGCAGGCCCATATCCTCACCCTGCAGTGCCTGTGAGACCACCATTGAGTTTTTGGTACTAATTTGGTGAAGCGGAATGGGGCTCTGGACTGAGATTCGGGGGTGCAGTGGTGTGGCCTCCCCCAGAATCACCTGTGTAAACCCTGCATATGCTCACTTGTTCCTGGGCTATAGTTCCTTGTCTGCCAAATGGGGGTCACCGCAACCTCCCACCAACCTCTCAGATAGGGTCAGAGAAGCAAATGAGACTGAGGGGGTAATGGGAGTTGAAACACTATAAAGCCATAAACACACTTATTTAAAGGAAAATTGTTCAATACGAGAGCCTGCAGCTTCCCCAGTAAAGAGAAATTTACAGAAAGGGAGAGAAAGGTGAATTGCTCTCATCATGTTCTGACTGTGGTAATCGGCCTGGTTATTTGCTGCTTCATTCTGAACCCCTTCCCTCCCGACTTCTCCAAGAAAAGGAGATTATTTTTAATTACAGTTTTACACTGGATTAATGAATCTCCACAATAAGTTAATGAGCAGGACACGGCACCGGGAGACAACACGTTTGATTGCTTTTGGAGACTTTCGTAAGCTTCATTATTTCCAGGCCGTCTCTGCAGAGCCACCGTGGCCTGGGTGAAGGGAGCCAGAAGGACACCCAGGATCTCTGAGCCATTACATTTATGATACCTGGGGCATGGCCACATTAAAGCCTGCTGGAGAGCGGC